CACAGAGAGAACAGCATGCGCTTTTCAAATGCTCCTGGCAGCGTCTCGGAGCACCCCTGGGTCCATGAGGGGGCATGGGACAAGCACTGCCCTGTCCAGCCCACTCTGTCTGCTGCTGGAGGACACTCAGAAACCTTGCCTCAGCCCTTCTGGTACTTCTCCGTGAGGAACTGGTAGAATCGTTTCTTTCTCACCAATGTGTGGGCACCATCATGGGGGCTGGCCCATCGGGAGGCTCACTGTGTAAGAATCTGCGCAGGACTTGTTCTCGGCTCTTGGAAGTGGTCCCTTCAGTTCAAGAGACCGTTGGCATCCACGAAAGGTCTCTCCAACCAGCAGATGGCAACTTGGACCCTTCCTAAATCTGCAGGGTGTCCCACACCCCACGCCTCTCTCGCCATCACACCATACCTGCCCACTCCCACGTGTTTCCAAAACACCTTTTTGGCACCTCCCAACTCCACCACCCCTGCTGCACACAAGTCGTCCCATGCCTGCTCAAAGGCCATCTTTGCTGGGAATCCAGTTCTTTGTTCACATAGCACTCGGGTTGCATCTCTGTGATTCTTTTAATTAGGGCTGAATAATTTCCACCTTCCCCGATCTGTGAGAGCCTCGAAGCTTGGGTCACGACCCACTCATCTTTGTATCCTGCCCAGGGCAGTACCTGCCATGTGCGGCACCTGTACACACACCCCTCGGGGAATGTGGAAAGAAAAAAGCTCTGTGGGAAATGGCAGAGCAGTTTGGAAAAAACAGCACAAAAGGAGGCCTGGTCTCCGGGGTACACACCAACTTTGCTTCCGATGTTCTCAGGACTTCCCTTTGAAGGCCTGAGATTAAAAACAGATCCCAGGAGTCCCAGCTCCACCCTCCCCTCCTGTTATGATGAAGCCAGGGGCCCTGGTCTGGTGGCGGGATGGGAAGGGCCCGGGCCAGAGGTCATTCAGAGCATGGGACTGGCAGTGCCCACCTCTGGGAGGGTGTGGTGTGCCCGAAGTGGACACTCAAACGACCAGCCCCAACTCTTCCACGTGACTCTTCTAGTCACCTTGGGGGGTTGTGTGTGTGCGCTTAGCTGCTCAGTTGTCTGATCCCATGGACTGTAACCCGCCAGGATCCTCTGTCCACAAAATCTTTCAGGCAAGAATACTGCAAGAATACTGGGTTGCTATTTTCTTTTCCAGGGGATCTTCCCCACCCAGGTAACGAACCTGCGTGTCACGTATTGCAGGCAGATTCTTAACCTGCTGAGCCATCGGGTTGCCTCAGAGGAGTCACTTATCTTACTTAGCACGTGGGTGCCCCATCTGCAAAATGGGTATAATATACGCCTCAAGGCGTTGCAGAGGGCAAAGGAATAATGCCCACCCTGAGCTTTTGCTGAAGCTGTGTGTTGTGTCCATCGGGTGTGTCAGGATGGCTGGCTCACTGCTCTTCTAGAGTAGCGCATGCTTCCAACACTCCTCCTATCTTTTAATCAATATTTCACCTTAATCAACACAAACCTGGTCTTTCAGCAAAAGGCTCGCTTGGGCTCAGTGGTTCTTTGCGGACATTTCAGGGTACAGGACTTAATTGTCTGGAGCTCAGATGCTTGCCAGTGCTTCCCTGACTTGTGTCTCCGCGAGGCAGCTTCCAGGGCACACCGGGGACTAGCGTTCTGGAGGCCTACAGCCTCCCCGACTCTCCACCTTCCTGAGCCCACCTCGTGCAAAGAAAACAAAAAACAGCGCTTCTGGAAGTTCATTCCTGCTCAAAGCGGACCACGAATAGGGTGACAAGCGTGAGAAAGAGGCCCCCAGAGGTAGCGCTCCAGAATTGTGGCTTCACCCCAAGGTCTGGTCTCTTCAGCTTCTGAGGCTCAACTCAGATGGCAGACTCCTATCCCTTCGCGTTTATTCTCCAGGGTGTCCCACCAGCCTCCAGGCCTGGCCCCCGCCGCCTCGTCGCCCCCGCCGCCTCCGCTCTCCCAGCATCTGCAAGGGCTGCGCCCTCTGCTGGAGCCACCGCATCACGTGACTGGCTCCGCACCCCACGGGTCTCAGCCCCCCGCCCCCCCCACCCACACCCTCTCCCTTCGCGGCAGCCCCCCAAGTTCTCTGCCTTCCCAACCAGCAGCGGCCCCGGGCTGTCTTGTTCGCTGCTCCGTCCCCAGCACGCCGCAAGTCACCATCCACTGAGGGGGGCAGACCACCCAAATATCGGCCCCGCCCACCACCTACCTGAGCAAGAGAACCCCCGCCCAGCCCGGGACGACCTGCACAGGAGCCCTGCTCCAACACCGGCACCGCGGACAGGCTGCAAGGGGCAAGCGTTGCCCTCAGCGCCAGGGTCCAGCTGTAAATCAGCGCCCGGGGGAGCGGAGGGGGGAACGGGAGGCTTCATTCCGGAGCTTCCGAGAAGGGGAACTGGCACACGCACGGCTGTCCTCCTTAGCCAGCCTCCTCTGAACACCCTTTAAACTGTGACGCGAGATTCCGCACACCCCATGACCTGGAATGTCCAAGAGCCTCCGTCGGTCTTCCTGGGGACCAGCAAGTGCAGGAAACGGAAGTGGCAGTAGCACCCCCAGGCCCTGAGCGTAGCTGCTCACCACCTCCGTGGCACGTGTCACGCGCTCACCCAACACCCAGGTGCCTTGTTTACAACCAGGAAGGACAGCCAGCCTCCCCGCTACTGGAGGGAAGAGACGACACGGCATCAGGGTCCCCAACTCAAGATCTGAGCAGTCCCTCGAAGTTTCGGGGTCAGGGTCAGACCTCTTGGGAGTCTTGTTCCCTCATCCAGATAACAAGGGTGAGCTCCTCATCACCAAGCTGCTGAAGAGGCTAAATGAGGTGCAGACTGTGTCTGTGCAGCATGGAGCACACCCATAACACACACACTTCAGGAAAACGGAAGCTTGCATCTCAGTTATCAGGACCCGAGTGAAAGTGCATCGAGACCCAGACCGTTTGGTAGAGAATCTGTGCTCCCTCCAGACCTGGCCGAGTGCCTGTGCTTTCAGGAAATTCCTAATGGAACAGGAAATAGCCCATTTTCCCAGATAATCTCCACTTTATCCCTTTTATTTCCAGTGTCCAATTCCTAATGACCCTCTTTACTGAACTATTGCTCTTCAAAGAGACTTTTTGTGCCTCTGGAGGAAGTGGAAGTTGGATGCTGTCCGGGCTCTTTAAGGGAAAGCCACGTGAGGAATTCGGGAGGGAGGCAGCCCCAGGCCAGTTCACAGCTGGGCGGGTCAGGCACCTGTTTGCTCATCTGTCAGTGCTTCACTGTCACCGTGGTTAGACGAGGCGGAGGCCAGCCCTCCACCCTCTCCACCCCTAACAGCATCTGACTATGATCAGTACAACGGGAGATCTAACTTGGTAACTGACGCTTCTCCCAACAGTCTAGGTGCAGAAGCTTCGCTGCTCAGGTTGCCGGCAGACACCCTGTGCGGGGGCCCTGCTCTGGGAAGATGGAAAGGCTGGGCAGCTCCTTCCAATGCACCAGCTCCTGGGAGGAGAGACAGAGACTCTTCCATCTTCACCCATCCTCACCTGCCACGGAAGGCATCCCACTGCCAGGGAACCTGGGGCCTCAGCTCCCCAGGCCTGGGGAGGAGACTGAGGTCAAAGTGTGCGTCGCTGAGTCGTGTTCCGCTCTCTGCGACCTCAGGGACTCTAGCCGGCCAAACCCCTCTGTCCAGGGGATTCTCCAGGCAAGAATACTGGAGTGGGTCACCATTTCCTTCTCCAGTGGATCCCTCTCGACCCAGGGATGGAACCCGGATCTCTTGCATTGCAGGTGAATTTTTTGCCATCTGAGCCACCAGGGACATACATGCAACTTGGTGAAGAAGAATTCTCAGACTGGGGTGTAAATTCAGGCTCACACAACAGATTCTCTGGGACTGACCAGACATGAAATCTCAGTTGGTCTCCTGATCATTTTCTGGTGGGTTGAGAGAAGACGGGCTTGAGGCAAATTAGTGCACGCCTGCTGTGTTCTCATCTGTCATTTGCCTCCCTGCCAATGTAGTCAGCCGAGAAGTCAGAATGCTGGACATTGACTTCATTTGCTTCTCAGCTTTGCTGTCTCTGGCTTGATATTGTTTATTCCTTTATTTGAGTTATACTAAAGCTAACCACTTAGGATATACAGGACACCCAGGTAAATCTGAATGTCAAATAGACACAAGAAGACAATGCATCATTTTATTTTTGGTATAAGTGTATTACCATGTAATATTTGTGAAAGCTGACTTGTCATTTAGCTGAAATTCACATTTAATTGGTCATCCTGCATTTTTATTTGCTAAGTAAATCAATTCAATCAATTTCAAGCAAAGACTGGTTGCTTCTGAGTCTCAAAGTATAACATTTCAAAAACCAACTTCTCCTCTGCCAACATAAAAAAAAAAAACTCTTCAAGCTTGTTGTTTTATTTCCAGGACATTAAAGAAAAAAAAAAGTCTATGAGTATCGAATAAAAACAACAACAACAAAAAAGATGCATCTTCTAACAAGTGCCCCGGAATCAAGAGCTCAGCACGTCCCTGGCCACAGGCAGTGGCGCCAGCTAGCACTTCAGGCACCTCCAAGTCAACAGCAGTCAGCCTCCAGGCCATCAGGGTGGCAGGGAAGAGTGATGGGGTGCAGAATTCAGAGGTGCCGACTTCCCCAAAGAGGTCCGCAGGGCTGAGGGGCAGGGGCAGAGGAACGACAGGACGCAGGCCACCTCCCACTGCCACCCAGCACCTGCCCCTCTACCAAGGGCAGTGCCTGCTGCACGGACAGGCAGAGGAGCGGGCACTGCCCAGGGCTCACAGAGCGGACCACCCCACCCGCCCTCACCCTGGCTTCTCCCAGGCTTGAACCTGGGCTCCTGCCAACACCGCCAGCAGTCTGGGCAGCCTGGAGCTGTGTGTGAGGCTTCCGCTGGCACACGGTGCCGTGGAGGGCCAAGAGGCTGAGGGTCTTTAAAAAAATCACACACTTTCACTCGATCGAAAGTGATGCATATAATACGGTGGTCTTAAAATTTTATTTTGTATGGGTGTATACAGTTTGAGTAATGAGCATGCAATCCAAAGTAGTTTTTATAAGCTTTGCTCTTCAAACTGGGGTTAGTATTGCTGTTGGGCAGGAAGTCCTCACTGACAAATCATACTCATGAGGTGAAATCGAGGAGGACATGCTGGTGCCAAAGATTACCAAGTGGCCCTAAGGCGTCACCCCCCAGTTCTCACAGCAAAGAGGACCAAGAGCTAAAAGTACCTCGGGAAAATCCAACAGTGCCAAGAGCACCCTCAGATCAAGCCTGTAAATTATCTATCCATGGTGCTCAAAAGTGAGGGAATTAACCAGAAGGCTCCGGTGAGGCGTGCCTTCTCACTTCCTCTTCTTGGTGGAATACAGCTTTTCTTCAAGGGGCACCGGGACCATCCCTTCACATTCTTTCACCTCCTGGGTTAGAGGGTGTTTTACAACATTTGGTCTAATCACATCAATGTCTCGAGACAAGTGCTCCATTATGCTTTCAACAGTTGTTGTTGGTGCATAAAAGTCCACCAAGAAGTACCTGCAATAAAATAAAAATGTGTGAACGGGCTGCATTCTGCAAGACAGTGATTTCGCTATTTTGGTCGATGTTTTCATTTTACTTCTCCCCATATAAAGACACCAACTCCCCATAAACACACATACACGTTTGCCACAAGAGAAACTGCCAGCGGACCAGTTAAACACAAGTGCAGCAGTATGCCGGACCTCCCTTTCCCAAGCACTCTACTGAAGTTTCCAAGCCGTGAGTTCACACTTTTTGTGAAAACATCTACGAGTCTTCTAATTTTCCAAAGAATTTTACAAGTGACTTGATGCACCTATGAGATAGAGTAGGAACCATGAGCCATATTCACAAACAAAGAAAACAGTTAAGAGAGGCCTAGGGCTCATCTCAGGCCGTTCGGTACCTTTAAGGACTGACAAGGAACAAGAAGAAAGTAACCTGAAGCCTGTGATGAGAGAAAAGGGTTTAACATCATCTGCTCAGACCAGACTAAGACAGATCCGCATCTCTTACAGCTCACTGGTCCCAAAAGATCAGTAACTTTATCAGTGATTGTCTCTACGCTGATACAAAGGAAGAAGCGTCTCTAGTCCCTGCCCACCCCATCCCTCAGTTCTAAACATTTAAGCCTCCCTTGTGCTGTTTAGTTTGGACCACAGTGCTGTTAAAGGGACAGTTTTCAGGGCAGTCTTTCAGAATTCTTCAGTGTTCCAGCTGGCTAAGATGACCTCTGACATCACTTACTTGGTTCTGGCCACACTCTCCTCCCAGGCATATTCCTATCCGAGGTCTCTGCAGGCGCTGTGCCTCTGCCGGAAATGCTCTTCACTCAGGTCCACACGGCCCGTCCCTCACTTTCATCGCATCTCGGTCCAAGAGTCACCTTGTTGAGAAGCCTGCTGCCCCACCCGCCTGGCCTCAGTCGCTCTCCCCTCCCTCTCTTAACGCTGTGGCTCCGTTAACCCCGCACCTGATCGCCACTGGCACGGGGCACTTGTTTGCAGCCGGCCTCACTGCACTCAAACAGAATGGCCCTAGGAAGGAGGACTCTGTCACTACACCCCCAGCATCCTGAACACAAGCTAACACACATCAGACCCACAGTAGCTATCTCACCGTGATGTGTTAGCCTGAAGGGTGGAATTCTCACAGAAAGCAGGAAAGATCAAACTGAAAATGAACAAATTCAGCAAGGAAGAAAGCTATTAGACAAACTATGGCATTTTGTGTAATTCTACACAAACTCAGGGTTCAAAACTCATAAGAAAACTTCCCAACCTCATGTGTGACCATTCACAAGCCTAGTGGGAAAGTCAATCAAGTAAAAATAATTAAAAGTTAAAGGACAGAAAAACATATATCATGCAAAAACACTGATCAGAAGAAAGTTCAAGTGGCTACAGTAATATCAGACCAAGGAGACCTCTAAACAACAACAAAAAGTTATCAGGGGAAAAATGAGACAACACAGAAAGATGGGTACACCAAGAAGACACAACAATCCTACTCTGATAACAGAGTTTCAACATACCGTAAGTAAACACTAACAGAAACGAAGAAAAGAGACAAATCCACAATCAGAGCTGAAAACTTCTAACATGCCTCTCAGTGTCTGACAGATCTAGTACACAGAAAAACCAGCAAGGATACAGAAAAAGGGCACACCACCCTCAACCAACTGGATTTGATATTTATCGAACCCTCCACCCAACAACAGCAATATATTACACATACTTGTTCTCAGAGCATATAAAACATTTACTAAGGATGACCATATTCTGGGCCATAAAATGAGTCTCAATAAATCTAAAGGGACTTGAGTCACACAGAAGATCTTGAGAAAAATCCCCAAAATACTTGAAAACTAAACATACATCTAATCAACCTACTGGTCAAAGAAGAAATCAAAAGGAAAATTACAAAATACCTTGATTGAATAAAAATGAAAACAACACATGAACATTTGGAGAATGCCACTAAAGTAGTACTTAGCAATAAATTCACAGCACTAAACATCTAGGTAAGAAAAAAGAGCTCAAATTAATGATTTCAGCTTCCACCTTGAGAAAATGGATAAAGAAGAGCAAATTAAATACAAAGTAAGACCAAAAAAGAAAATAATAAAAATCAGAGCAGAAACCTCTGAAACACGAAACAGAACATCAATGAAACCGAAGACTAGCGCACTGAGAAGATCGGAAAAACTGACACAAACAACTCCACTCAGACTAATCAGTAAACAGTCAAGATGCAAATCACTGATATTTGGGAATAAAAAAGGTGAAATGACTACAAAGTTTACAGATACTGAAAGAATGGTAAGTGAATATCTCAAAAAATATTTTACAATAAACTTGACAACCTAGCTCAAATTTCTTGAAAAAATACGAACCATCAAAACTCACTCAAGAAGAAACAGATGACCTCACCAGCCCTGTATCTATCAAAGAAATTAAATTCATAGTTTAAAATCTTCCCATAAGGATAACTACAGGAACAGATGGTTTCACTGGTGAGCTCCACCAAACATTTAAGAAAAAAATATCAATTCTGACACAAACTGATCTGGGAAGTAGGAAAACACTTTTGAACTTGTCCTAAGAAGTCAGCATTACCCTGGAACCAAGATCAGAGACAAAGACACTTCTTTAAAAAGAAAAGAAAAACAGACCAGTGTCCCTCATAAACATAAATGAAAAAATTCTCAATAAACCTCTAGCAAATTGACTACTCTAATAAAAACAACAATATATCCTGACCAAGTAGGATTTAGTCCAAGAAAGCAAGATTGGCTTAAACATTTGAACATGAATGAAAACAATCACATTAACAAGCCAAGAAAGAAAAACCATGTGATCACTCCAATACATGCAAAAAGGATTTAGCAAAACCCCATATCCATTCCTGATAAAAATCTTCAGCACACTAGGGAAAGACGTAATCTTCTACAACCTTTTATAGAGCATCTGTGAAAAATCCACATCCAGCATCACACTAACTGGTCAAAGTCTAGGTGCCTTCCCCCTAAGAAAGGGAACAAACAAGAATGTCTACTCTCACTACTTCTATTCAACATTTTACTGAAGTGTAAAAGAAGCAAAAGGCATCTAGACTGATAAGGAAAAAGTAAAACCATCTTTTTGCAGACGTCATAATTGTGTATACAGAAAAATCTGAAGCTTATAAAAAAGATATCAAAACTCTAGTTTAGCAAGGTTACAAGATACAGGATCAATAAACAAAAATCAACTGTATTTCTATATACTAGCAACAAATGACCAGACCTTAAAATTATAAATGAAAAATTTAGTGATAAGTCTGACAAAAGATGTGCAAGACTTCTACACTAAAATTACAAAACACTGCTGAAAGAAGTTAAAGAAAATCTACATAAATGGAGAGGTGTACTTTGCTCATAAGTAGAAGATTCAATTTATTTAGCTATCTATTCTCCTAAACTGATCTAAAGAGCCAAAAATATCCCAGTCAAAATCTTAAGACTTTTTTGTTAGAAATTGACAACTGATTCTTAAGTTTACATGGAAATTCAAAAGACCAAGAACAATCAACACAACTTTGATAAAGAATAAAGTTGAAGGACTAACATTACCTGATTTCAAGACTTACTATGAAGCTATGGCAATCAAGGCAGTGAGGTATCTGCATGAAGATAAGACAAATAGACCCATAGAAGAGAGTTTGGAATTAGATCCATACACATAAGGATACTGATTTGTGACAAAGGTGCCAATGCAACTCAGAAAATAAAGGATAGTCCCTTTCAACAAAAGGTACGTGAACAATTTGATATCCACAGGCCAAAAAATGAACTCTTTGATCCATACTTGTACCATATAGAAAAATTAACTCAAAACAGAACTCAGATATAAACATAAAACATAAGGTTATAAAACTAGAAGAGAACCCGAGACAAAATCCTTGTGACCATGGATTAAGCAAAGATTCTTCAGATAAGACACCAAAAGCACAATTTCCATAAAAGAAAAATTTGATATTTTAGGCCTCGACAAAATTAAAAACTGCTCTTTGAAAGAGACTCTTTAAGATAACAGAAAGATAAGCCATACACTGGGACTTGAAAATCTCATATTTGATAGGGGGCTTATTTCTAGAATATTAAAACCTCTGCAAGTTTAATTTAAAAAACTATTTCTAAAAATGCACCAAAAATTTGAAGAGGCGTTTCACTGAAGATTTACAATAGCAAAGAAGTGTATGAAAAGATGCTTAACACCACTACTTATCAGAGAAATGCAAACTAGAACTACAGAGTTACCTACAAGAATGGCCCAATGCCCAAACCACCTATCAGAATGACCACACCAAGTGCTGGTGAGCATGGAGAGGAACTGACACTTTCATACACGTTAGTGGGAATGCAAAATGATATGACCAACTTCAGAAAACAGTTTGGCACTCTCTTAAAAAATAAGTTTGGCACTCTCTTAAAAAATAAAACATATACCTGCCATTATGATTAAGCCATTCCATTGAAGATTTACATTCCTAGATACGCCCATAGAACAACTCACGTATCGATGTTTATAGCAGTTTAACTCTTAACAACCCCAAACTAGAAATAACACAAATATTCATTAACATGTAAATTGATAAGCTAACTGTGGTATATCCATAAAATAGCATACTACTCAGCAATAAAAAGGGATAAACTGTTAATAAATACCAGTGATGAATCTCATAATAATTTTGCAGAGTAAAAGAACTACATCTTGATTGTGGAGATTTCATGGGTTTATACTTATGTGCAGTTTACTCTGTGTCATTTATACCTCTATAAAGCTGTTGATTTTTAAATGGTATACAGAAGTTGAATGAGCAAGTCTTGGTGAATCACTTGATGCAGTGGTGGGAGTAATTACAGCTGATTAAGACACCAAGGGTTTTTCATGAAATGAAATATTAATAAAAACACCAATTCCTCCACTACCTGGGCAAACTTCTTGAAGCACTGCATTGCACATTTGCTCAAT